AATCCATTTAATAAATTTTCTACTTTGAATCTTGTTCCTGATGTCTCTTAGTTGTATTCAACAATGTACAATTTGTTTCGTAAATCTTGATGGAAATAACGGATATATACGTCATATTCGGCAAGTACATGGAAATGATCGTCAATTTGCTACATTTTGTTCTCTATGTCATTCAAAATTTGTTTTTACTAATTTAAAATCATTTATTTCTCATTTTCGTAAACATATGTTAGATTTTTCATTTAATGAAGAAGCTTTATCATCTCTATGCACCACTCATGATACAGTTAATCTTAATATTCATGATGATATTGAGGAACATTTGACAGTGTATGAATATGAACAATATGATCAATTAGAAGAAATAAAAAAATTTTATGTTAAAATGCTATTAAAAATTCGCGAAGGTCATGTACTTCCAGGTTCTGTGATGAAGACAATAGCGTTATCTGTTAGTTCTTTAATTGAAACATTTTCAATTCATTTATTATGTAAATTGAATATCAATGTTGATCATCCTATTTCACGTAATATTAACGATTATATCGAAAAAATTCTTTTCGAAATCTCAAAGAATGAAGATTCATTTATTTCTTCCTGTGAACTTTATTTCAAATTTATTAAACCAAAAGAAATACAATTACCGACGGGTAATAAAGCTTATTATATTCCAATACGTGATGTATTGATGAATTTATTTAAAAAAAAAGATTTTTATGATTGTATTAAAAAAGAAAAACAATACATATCTCAGTTTGATGGACAAGATATTCTTTATCATTATCGGAACGCAGAGATAGGTAGACAACATCTCATATTGAATGTCAAAGAAAACAGTTTGCTGTTACAATTATATTGTGATGATATAGGTGTAGTTAATCCATTGATGGGAAAGAATACAACACATAAATTAACAACATTTTATTTCTCTATAGATGATTTACCAGCATGTCATAATTCTTCGTTAAATTTTATACATCTATTATTATTATTCTATACGAAAGATTTTGAAGATGAAAATAATCGTCGAATATTATTTAATCAGTTAAATAAAGATCTTAGGTGTTTAGAAGATGATGGTCTTGTATTACCCCGTGATATAAATTCAACTTACTTTACAATTAGCACTGTATGTGCTGACAATCTAGCTGGTAGTTTTTCTAATAAAGTAGTTATCAAGAAAAGAATTGATTGTAAAAAAATTTTTATTTAAAATCTATTTAAAAATTTTTTCTATATCATAATCGACCAGTGCGAATTATATTTTAAGTTATTTTAGTACATGTGACTAGCAGTTATAGTTTTAGAGTCAAGTCTTTAGTTTATAATTCTTTTTTTATTGTTTAGCACATGAACTTGGTGGATTTACTTGTGCATTTAATTCAGGTCGATGTTGTCGATACTGCCTTATATATCATAGAGATATGAAACATGTTTACAAAGAGTCGGATAGTTTAATGCGTACAGCTGCATCACATGATTCTCATGCAAAACACATTCACAATGTGTCTAATGATAAATCTTTGTATGGTGTTAACGAAAAATCAGTTCTTTCAACATTACCATCATTTAATCCAATTACTTGTTTACCCCCAGATATTATGCACGACATTTTAGAAGGTATTATGCCAAAATTTACTAATTGTTTATTACATACGATTGTATCTAATCGTTTATGTACATCATCTCAAATTTGTCATCGAATAAATAATTTTATATATGGAATAAATGATAGACGAAATCGACCACCAGCATTTAAAGAAAAAGAGATTCTTGATAAACGAGTTCCTGGTGAGTATTTTTTGCATTTAAACTTTAAACAGCATGAAGTGTGCTGATCATGATATATTAGGATCGTTTGTGAAATATAGTACGACACCAAAGTACAACACTCTGTATGATACTACAATTATTTTATGTTTATATTTTAGGTAAAACCATGGAGAAATATTGCTTATTTTTGAACTTATCATTTATATTAATTGATATTATTGATAAAATACTTTATTGGTTTTTATACAAATTACTGCGACAGATATGGGATATTCTGTATAGTGATTATCCAAGGAAATCTTGGTTCTCAACACTTGAACAATTAATTCAAGAATTTATACAATTGTTTCAAACCATTTTTCCCGGACAATTTATTCCTAAATGTCATTTTCTTCTTCATGCAGCACGTAATACTGCTAAAAATGGTCCATTAAAACGGCAAATGAATTTACGTTATGAGTCAAAGCACCATTTATTAAAAAAAATTGCAAATAGATGTAATAATTTTATTAATTTACCTCTTACCATATCTAGGCGTGCACAATTACGCCAATGTTATGATTTAATGGATGACAAATGTCTTAAAAGTGGTGGTATTAGTGGTAGATTTCGTTCACGATGAACAATAAGTTTTAGAAAAGAAATACAAAATGCATTACGTGATGATTACTTATTTATTTATGGTGATGTGATACAATATGTTAAATGGGTAATAATGGATAATGTCAAGTATAAAATTGGCGATGTTTTTGTTTTCTACCTGTTAGACGGAGAAAAAATTCCTTTATTTGCAGAAATAAAATATATTATTAATATCGAAAAAGAGTGGAGATTTATTGTTTCATTCTACATCGGGGTCCAAAATCAGCTGG